AAAAATCTTCTTCTCAAGAACCACTGGGCCAGAAAAGCTGAAACTTTCGTGGAAACATTCTGGGGTAGTGTAGATTCTAAATTGTTAAAATCATGACCCCCGGGGCAAGGGCGGGGCCACAATAGGGAATCCAAGTTTTACATTGAAATACATAGAAAAAAATCTTTTAAAATCTTCTTCTCAAGAACCACTGGGCCAGAAAAACTGAAACTTATGTGGAAGCATCCTGGGGTAGTGTAGATTCTAAATTGTAAAAATCATGACCCCCGGGGGAAGGGCGGGGCCACAATAGGGAATCCAAGTTTTACATTGAAATATATAGAAAAAAATCTTTAAAAATCTTCTTCTCAAGAACCACTGGGCCAGAAAAACTGAAACTTATGTGGAAGCATCCTGGGGTAGTGTAGATTCTAAATTGTAAAAATCATGACCCCCGGGGGAAGGGCGGGCCACAATAGGGAATCCAAGTTTTACATTGAAATATATAGAAAAAATCTTTAAAAATCTTCTTCTCAAGAACCATTGGGCCAGAAAAGCTGAAACTTATGTTGAAACATCCTTTGGTAGTGTAGATTCTAAATTGTTAAAATCATGACCCCCGGGGGAAGGGCGGGGCCACAATAGGGAATCCAAGTTTTACATTGAAATACATAGAAAAAATCTTCTTCTCAAGAACCACTTAGCCAGTCAAACTGAAACTTATGTGGAAGCATGCTGGGGTAGTGTAAATTCTAAATTGTTAAAATCATGACCCCGGGGGAAGGGCGAGGCCACAATAGGGAATCCAAGTTTTACATTGAAATATATAGAAAAAATCTTTAAAAATCTTCTTCTCAAGAACCATTAGGCCAGAAAAGCTGAAACTTATGTGGAAGCATTATTTGGTAATGTAAATTTTAAATTGTTAAAATCATGACCCCCGGGGAAAGGGCGGGGCCACAATAGGGAATCCAAGTTTTACATTGAAATACGTAGAAAAAATCTTTAAAAATCTTCTTCTCAAGAACCACTTAGCCAGACAAACTGAAACTTATGTGGAAGCATCCTGGGCTAGTGTAAATTCTAAATTGTAAAAATCATGACCCCCAGGGAAAGGGCGGGGCCACAATAGGGAATCCAAGTTTTACATTGAAATACGTAGAAAAAATCTTTAAAAATCTTCTTCTCAAGAACCACTTAGCCAGAAAAGCTGAAACTTATGTTGAAGCATCCTGGGGTAGTGTAGATTTTAAATTGTTAAAATCATGCCCCCCGGGGAAAGGGCGGGGCCACAATAGGAAATCCAATTTTTATATTGAAATATATAGAAAAAAAAATCTTCTTCTCAAGAACCACTTGGTCAGAAAAGCTAAGACTTTTGTAGAAGCATCCTGGGGCAGCGTAAATTCTAAAGAATTCAAATCTTGACCCCTGGGTGTAGGGCGGGGCCACAATAGGGAATCCAAGTTTTACATTGAAATATATAGGAAAAATCTTTAAAAATTTTCTCATCAAGAACCTCTTGGCCAGTAAAGCTGAAACTTATATGGAAACATCCTAGGGTACTGTAGATTTTAAATTGTTAAAATCATGATCTCCGTGGGTAGGGCGGGGCCACAATAGGTATTACAAAAAGATCATCTGGTGAATAACAGCAGGGCCAAAGTTATTCAGGTGAGCGTTGTGGCCCATGGGCCTCTTGTTTTCATTACCGGTAATACAGGTTAATGTACCCTCAAACTCAACAGTTGGATATTTCATCCACATTTCATGTTCCTTCAAAATTAACAACTGGCTGTTTCTCTGTTTTAGTCTTGTATGGTGGAAGATGAAGGAGACCCAACAGAGGAGACCATCACATTCCTGTACAAATTTGTAAAAGGGGCCTGTCCTAAAAGTTACGGCTTCAATGTGGCACGCCTGGCCAACATTCCTGAGGAGGTAACAATACTTCATTTAGATTTTAATACCAGTACTCGGTATTGATACATATACCTATAATACAGAATATTGTTTCAAAAATACCACCATAAGACCTGAGGGATGGAGCCCAAAAAATAAAAATTCATGCAATCTTCAAAAATCATCTAGTCATTGGATGTCTAACATGCAAACTGTTTGCATGATTATATACAGTTAAATCTTGATCTCTCAAAGTGTTTCCATGGTCCCAAAGATTTTGGGGTGTAGAGTTACTTGTAGATTAGTTACAATGTAGTCCTCTACTAAATTGTAAATTCATGTTATGGTTACATACTGAAAATACATTACACCTTTGAAAACCTTTTGCTAATGGACATCTAGCAGGCCAAGTTTTTCATTATTATAATGAGTAGCTAGTTATGAATTTCTCATATCAGGTCCAGGATGAAGTTCCCAGGGTGGGACTAAGATGGACTTATATATGCAGTGTACCTTTCCCCAGACCCCAGTATTAGTGGTCGTGATACAAGAAAATTGATTCAGCTTTTAGAAATTTTAATCTATATACTAACCAATTAGATTTCTTAACTGCATCTTTATACACATAGATGATACATAAATTTATCTGCTGTTTCTTTTTTGTAGGTTGTAAAAGTTGCCAAAGAGAAGGCAAAGGAATTTGAAATGTCTGTCGAACTAAAAAAATTATTTAGGTAAAAAGTGAAATAGTATAGTGTATTAATATGATACATTTCACAATTCTTGCTTCAAATTTGGACTCTATATTATGATTTTGAAATTAAAATTGAGAGGTACCTTAATTGATTGATAAACTTCAATTATTATTGTTAGGTCAATATGGCATGATGACTCCATTGAGAATATAAAGAGGGTACAAGCCTTGATTCCAGAGGACCTGTAGTTTTCTAAAGATCTGTTCGAACTAGTGCTGTTTCACCTTTGAAACATTCTGAACTTTAAAGTGCTCATAAAAACCATTCAAAGCTGATGTTTGACAAGCCTTGATTCCAGAGGACCTGTAGTTTTCTAAAGATCTGTTCGAACTAGTGCTGTTTCACCTTTGAAATATGCTGAGCTTGAAAGTGCTCATAAAAACCATTCAAAGCTGAAGTTTGACAGCAGCTGCATGTACATTTATATGTGATAGAGATAAAATAAAAATTACTGACTATATAGGTGAATGCAGGGTAGATGAATTGTTATGAACTTACAGGGAAATCATTTTACATTATTTTCCATTCATTTCTGTATATTCAAATATCATTAACAAAACAAAATTCATGCATCATGATTTAAAAAATATTCTGTGATGCAATCAAATATATTATTATTGTTATGGTAGCAAAAATTGTTGCATATTTTTTTGTCTGTTTTTTAAGAATAATAAAATCCATATTGACAATAGTGTAAAAAGTGTTGTTTGTGCATCTTGGCATATCGTGTTGAAGTAAAATCGATGGAGAAGTGCTGTCCGAGACTTTACACAGTTGCGAACATACACTGTATGTAGATCTTAGTAGATCAAGTTTTAAGGGAAAAAAACTGATCTTCTTTTGAAGGTACTTTATTTGTCTATTTGTCTTTTGTGGATATTTGTCTGTATGTGTTGGATGTTCAAAAAAAGCAAAGCATTTTCTTCATTTGTATAAAAGTTTGTATAATTAACAAGAGGCCTATATGGTAATAATGCTTGCCTGAATCACATCTCTCTTTCTGACTAAAAAAAATAAAGTTATATCAATGAAATTCTTGCATGTAGCCCTAAACTCCAGGCCCCGGGATCATGAAACAGACATGCGTACACTTAAGTTAAATTTTCAGTCAGCTGTAAAAGGTATAATAATTATTGAGTTAATCTCTAAATTTGCAAATTGCAACACTTTTGTAAAGCAGTATTGCAAAATATTTTAATTTTGGTCTATTTGACTTCTTCAATATTTTAGTACAACATAAAGATTTTGACTTAAGCTTAAGATGTTTCATGATCCCAGGGCCTGGCTCTTTTATGGTCAAGGTCTTATTTATAAATGGTGTTTAAACATCAAGATGTTTTTAAAAAAAAGTTTATGTAAGTGTATTGAGCTGGACTTACAATTTAACTACTTCATCTCATAAATGTCTGATATACATGTATGTGGAATTCAATAGCATTTCATTTTGCAATATGAGAAACCATCAAGTACATTTTCAATAATATACTATACATTGATGGACTTCAGTGTAGGTCGATAAGTGGTTATAAGGACCCATGTCAAGTGATATTGACTGAAGACACAGGAAGTGATAGTGACCGAGCTTGAGCGGTTGCTGTCATTTTCTGTGTCTAAGGTCAATTTCTTTTGAGGTCATGTTCTGCGGACGCGCTTTTGCATCAATATTACAAAAGGACAAATATCATGTGACGTCCTTTCAGCCAATAAAAATTACGAAAATAATCTTATATAATATAGTACATTGTCTGATATCTCGCTTATCTAATATTTTTGTTGAGCAAGGCTATATATTTATTCCTATGTAAAAATTTGTATCCTTTTTAAGGTCCAAACCATGATTCCAGGGGTTTATGAAGCACAAACTTTTACATCTCCAATACAGGAGGATGCTTGAAATTTTTTTTGACAACTGCATCTTAATTTTACTGTGGTCCACTCTTGAGAGGAAGATTTTAAAGGTTTTCCCCATTATTTCCTATGTAGAATATGTTTTCCTTTTATGACTCTATTCAAGCCTGTTGCATATTAATTTGATTAATTATGATCTTTAGTTCTTGAGATATTTATAGATTTTTCCTGTAGCAAACTTTCGACTCCCAATTCTGTACGGCATCCACTTTCTCACATATTTCCTTTTAGAGAATCTATACTATACAATGAATCTTTCAAAAACAAAAAGAGGCCAAATGACAGACAGATGGACAAAGGACAAACTTCGATCAGAGATCTAGAAGCTCACATGAGTTGCTTGACTCAAGTGAGCAATAAAGCTAAGAAGCAATAAAACAGTTAATATATTAATTTGCTTTTGATGAAAAACTAGCCATTTATTGACAATAAATAAATATGACAAGTATATGTGTAGGCATTTGGCAATTGTGTAAGAAAATTCTACCAACTTTTCTAGAGCTCCAATCATGTATGAATTTTGCATCTCTAAATTGTTTCAAATAGTACTTTCAACGGGTTAAATTAAAGATGCAAGTGAAATTAAAAGTCTACAGACTAATGACCCGTTTTTGATACAGGGACCTACACACGGGACATATGGGTCTTTCCTCACAAGCAAGCTCCTCAAAAGTCCTCAAACACGTCTCGTGAAACACATGTGAACAAGACAACAGAACTGTTTTCCTTAAGCCTGCTTTAGGTTTACAGTTATGATCTGTACTGTTTGTGCTCTGTGAAGTCAGTTTGCTAATTATAGGGTCTTTGTCTAGTCCCAAAGACTTCTTTGTATCAGTCTTATCTGGAAGTTTGGACATGTTTGACATGGCATTATGGAGTTCTTGTGTAGTGAAAGTTGGGCCATCTCCCATGTAACCTGGTAGAACCAGTGCTCCTAAACAGATAGGGCACTCAACTTCCTGTCTCATCACAGCCTGTAAAGATAAAAAAAAAAAATTGGAGAAATCAATCTCTGCAGAGTTATACCCCTTTAATTTTTTACTCCCTTTCACCTTGAAGTAAGGATAATAAGATTCACACACAAAATAATAGAATGGAAGTAAGTTCTTCTATAGAAATAATCTTTAATGAAATAAAAATCACCTTTAGTTGAACTTCTTCCCATTGTTCTTCAGACATTATGTTGAAAGTAGCATCAAAATTGCGGAACACGGCACGGCTTGCTGCCAGGTTCTCATCAATTTCAGTCAGAAAGACGTCAATGTTGAAGTCACAAGATCGCAGCATTCTATCTGTTATGCTAGACAGCTGAAGTACAAATAAACTATAAAATATTTGGAGTCAAATATGGAACCTGTCATCAGTTTAATTTTTTTTATCATACTGTGTAAATATGAACTTGAGAGAATATTTTTTTTTGGGGGGGGGGGGGGGGGGACTTTACAGATTTGTTATACATGCACTCCTTGTCATACTACAAATATTCAGGAAAGATTTCTCTAATTAAAATTGCAGTGTTGATAGTACATGCATTAGCTATAGACAATAATATGCTGACTTGCATTTTTGCTTAACTTCATAATTTCTTTTTGAGAGAAGAATTCAATGATATAACACATCATCCTTAAACATTTCTCACCTTACTGGCATAGAATTTTTTTCGGAGCTTGGGATCTGTGGGTGGAACCGACTCCCTCAACTTCAGATACCAACACCTGACCACATAGCCTCTCCAGGCAGCTTGGATTCTACATGTATATTGAACAAAGTAAGAAGAATCAGTGTATAAATAATTTTTAAAAAAAGTTGAGGGACATAAAAATTGATATTAAGTTACCAACTTTTTAAACTGACCTTGTAGCACATTTTATTCTGTGTTGTTTTGCTCCTTCGTGGATAACCCTGGTCTGATATTGTTCATTACGACACATCGGACATGTTTTTTTGCCAGTGAACCTTTCAAAGGCTTGCAGGCATGCCTTAAATGAAATTACAAAATGTGTTTATTATATACATTATGTATGCATGCATCTCATAAAAACCAAATTGATTTCTCATGTGCATATATACTTTAATGATATAATGCACAGTTCATAGCAGTACTTTTTTAGATTGATACTTACCCTATGGAAAACATGAGAACAAGACAGCAGCACCTACGAAACAAAAGCTAAGCATCAAAATATGCACCTTGAATTTTTCAGCACCTCTGAATAGAAATTGACAGACCTCCAACTGCAAATCAACTTTCAGTAAGGGACGGTTATAGGTGATTTATCACCTTTTTGATGATCAGAATTCATCGCTTCAAATTTCTTAATTGGCAATGTAAACTATTGGAAATAATTCTAAAGCAGCCTCTTCAAGTGGATAAATTCACTTTTTCACTTCAAAATTATTGAAAGCCTTGGCATACACATACATCCTTTGATACTATTTTCTCTCTATGATTTCTATAATATTCTTAACAACAAGTACCTGCTCTTGGGTTCCAAAATCTTCTTTACATATGACACATGGTAATTTTGAATCATCTCTTTCATTGGACTTGAGTTTCATATTTTGCCATTCTTTTTCAGAAAGAGGTTGATCAGGAGCTTCAACCAACCCCATTTTTTGAGCTGAAAGATAGTTTGCATGTTTGTTTGTTTTTTTTTTTCATATATATAGAAAGGGATGAGATGTGTTCATGCATTTATTTTAAAAAAACACAACACATAAACAGAAGATGAGTACATCAGGACTTCTTTGTGTAATTGTATTTCAAACATCTTACCAAGTGTGAGAGTGACAGGCTTTGCATCCAGTACATACTCTTCATCTTCTTTTTTGGCAGATCCTACAGAAAGATAAAAAATAATACATCTTTTTCACAACTCATCAAAGATGGTTATGTTTATGTTTAATCTACTGAAATAATATTAAATAGATATGTTCATTACTTCAATTTATGGTATTGAATCAGAGGTAATTTAGCTATGAGTACTTGGTAACAATAAATTGTTAAATTCTGGGTACATACAGTCAAACCTAGTTAGCTGGAACTCAATGGGACCAAGAAAAAATGTGGCCAGGAGATATTTGAGGATTCGAGATATCCAGAGTAAAATACATGTACTTATGAATAAGTGGTTGGAACTTCCAAATCATTTTGACACATCCATGATAATCAAGATATCGGTGTTAGAGATACCGAAGTTCAATTAACTGTAGATTAAGAGATCTATACAGGAAGGGCAATTTGTGATATGATCCCTAAGCTTTGGCAGAAGTCTAGCTGTAGCCCTGAAAAGGTCTTGTCCTGTACAGTTTAATATATGTTACCCTTTGGTCTTGTTTTCCTCAGGCCTGTATCTGTTTGTGATTTGATCTCTTTCTTTTGTTTCTGCTTGGCTTTAGCTGCTGGACCCAGTCCTATCTGTCTGGGTCCTATTCTGACTGGTGCCCCTAAATTTAGTGAACGGACAAGATGATCTTGGAATGCTACAGCTGCTAAAGTGGTAGATGATGTACCTTCCTGAAATTAAAAGTGAAAACTTAAACATGTATGATTTCAGAATAATTGTCCTGATACATATTATGTATATGTACATGTATATAGAAATAGATGTTCACACATTTATTCTTCCCATTATTGTGATCAAGGCCATTATTTCGTTTTTTCAGGTTCACTTGAAGCATACAAAAATAGACAGACTGAGTGGCTTTAGCCAGCTCAGTAGAATTTGGACAGAATCCAGTAATGTTACAAATATTATTTTATGAATACAGATTTAGAACAGGATAATGGATCTCTCTTACGATGATTTTTTTAATAGTTGATTAGAACATTTATCATTTTTGAAATGGAGAATATGATGTTTAAAAGTTCTTGTATCTCACACAAGTATATTGACCCAACAGCCTCTAAATAATGCCCTCTATCATATTCAAGAATGATTATGAAAAACTATGAAACATAATAAGGATTAAATTTTATGAATGTCAGACACCTCGGCCCAACGACACCTCGGCCCAACGACATCTCGGCCCATTGACACCTCGGCCCCAACGGGCCGGCCCAAGATTTGAGACACCTCGGCTCACGTAAAAGACACCTCGGCACAAACAAAAATGTATTATTTTAAACATATTTATTTGATATTTTCTTAAGTATTTTATTATTATAGGGACTATATGCGACGGATTATATTATTATATATCCATGAAATAAAAAAGAAAATAATTGAATAATCTTCCGAGAGTAAATTGACGGTAATTAAAAAAAAAATTGTCCATCACATAGTGCTAATCGTTAAACAAACAAAATGACGCAGCGCATCCTTTGAAGTCTCAAGCGCGTGTCATATGGGATGGTGACAATGAGGAGTTAATTACGAGCAGGCTAAATTAATCCAATTGTATGGTACAAACCACATATCTTCCTCGGTTGGTTTAGGGAAATATATCCATTATGCTCTAATATTACGCAAAGATCTATCAGGTTAACGTAACTTCTATCTGTGTAAGGTTAAGTTGAGTTTATAAATTAAAAAAAAAAATCAATTAAGACATATTATTGATCAGGACAGAATACCTCAGGACATATGCTACTGTGCACTGGTTTATACATATAATTATTATATATACTTAAGTGTACAATACGCCCCTACTACAAAGTGATTTTTAAGTAAAAGAATTCTAAATATTATGAAATGAATGAAGTTGCATTTTCATAAGCAACAAAATAAATAAATAAATAGACCTCCTATCTCCCACTCAATAAATACAGCAGCTGACATCTATGCTGTCGTTCGTTCAAAAATTCTGAAATTATATGCCCGTTTATCGTATACATATCGTCATTATAAACATACATACATTTATATTACCATAGTGAATACAGATAATAATTCTAAAAAAAAAAAAAATTCCTTGGGCCGAGGTGTCTTTAGTATTGACCGAGGTGTCAATAATTTTGGTCCGACCTGTCAGGGCCGAGGTGTCAAACGTGACGGGCCGAGGTGTCGTTGGGTCGAGGTGTCTGTCTACCAAATTTTACCCATAAGCAGGGTTCTCATTAATTTAAGAACTGTGCGTCCTTGTTAGCAAGAAAATTCTGGATTTGTCTGAAACATCTTGAATGTAAAAATAACAATCCCACCGATTTAGGGCTCGCGACGATATAAGATGAAGTACATCTTAGAGGAAATTCGAATCATGTAAATAAAAATGACGTTCATTTGGAAAAAAGAACTACCTTATCATGTTTTTGAGGAGCAGTTGTTTTCTTTGTATAAGACATAGCTTTTCCATTGATTTATCTCGGTGAAACATGCAAGGAATCAAAGAAAAAGCTGTATCATCGTGCCAAGTGCGAAGAATCCAAGGTAAACAATGCAAGGTTCTGGATAAGTCAGACTCTTTATTCTTCGTTTGGAAAAAATATCTTTACGCCTTTTACTGAAAATAACATTCAAATATTGAAATCTTACTGTGCATTTTTCAAAAATATACATGCATAAAAGTTCTTGTTGAAACATGATTTTGTACTTTTATAATGCACGTAGGAATCATTTAATGAACGATTTCACGAATATCTGCACGACCAAAAGATGGATGACCACGAGTCTGCAGAGAGGATAGCCGACGTTTTTGCTGATTTTCAATCGTATTTCAACAAGGAACAAGATTTAAGAGAGGTGCATAAGTACCTTATATTACTTTACTTTAATATAATCATTACTTTATATAGAGAGATTAGAAATTTAGAATAGAGGCCAGATTGTCAGAATAAGATCTGTTCGCACAGACTTGGCCTTTTGTAAAAATAATTTATTTCAGGGAAATTAAATTTCAGTTAATTTAGCTTGGTATAATTTAAGTAAAATGATTCATACTGTCAACTTCAAACTGAAACTGATTTATTATTACTTTTTAATCATGAAATTACCAGTTTTTGGAAGATATATTAACTTACAATTACAATCAGGATTTTATTATGTCAATTTATGATCCATAATTTCTGCAGAATTATCCAGTCTCTTAAAACAAAAGGAAAAAAAGGCCCTAGATTTGCCTTGTGAAACCACAGGCTTTTAGATTTTTTTAATCTGACTCAGACTGACAAACAGGGGTATAGAAAAATAAAGGTGTGGAACTTTTCAGGTAGGGTACCCAATTTTGCCAATGAAATTCTAATAAATCAAATGATTTAGAATTATATTTTCTACTCCTGTCTATTCACATATAAACAATCTACATTACTACCAAAGTTCATTTCAAAATTCCATATGCTACCAAAGATATGCTGACATCAATTCCAAAATTGACCTATTTTTCTTTACTTGAAACTAGCTTGAATAGAATAGAAAACTAGAATAGAAAATATAATTCACTAGTTCATTTCAATAAGTCATTTAATTTAGTAGTATTTCTTTGTTGAAATTAGGTACCTTATCTGAGAAGTTCCACACCTTTATTAATTTTTATACCTTCAGTTTTCCAGTCGGATTAAAATGATCAAAGACCTGCGAGTGAAGCATGCAAGTTCTGTATGGACTCTATGGAGTCAATTACAGAAAATAATAATAAAGAAAAAAAGGCTAGAAATCATATAAAGAAGATCATCAAGATATGTTACATTTATTATATACAAGCAAGTGCTGGCACATCTTCATTTAAAGATATGATAGAACAACTTGCATAATCTTCATTAGAGGAAAAACATGCATCTCTAATGTACAAGATCAAAAATAGGGAAGTCAACATCAATAAAGACTATTTTTTAGACTACATCTTTATGAACCAAAAACCACCAAATAGGATTTCTAGAATTCCTTTCAGATAGATACCATCAAGTAACAAACATCACAACTAGGAAAAAAAAATCATTTTACCCAAGGACCATCAAGAATTGGAATGCCTTACCAAACTTTATGATCTCTTTATTCTTTAAAAGAGACTACAAGCTATCAAATATTTTCTGACTCCCATTTTTATATTCATTTGAAAATATGTAACACACTTTTTTCTCTCATTCCAAAAAAAAAAATTGCATGAGCAAACCAACAGTGAGAAAATAGTCAACTTAATGATGGTGATCACATTGTGATAAAAGTAAATTAGAATTATTTTGATATTTTATGGTAATCTATAATGCTTTATTACATGTAGATACTTTATATTAATTTGTTTTGATTATGAAACAGTTTATTATTTCTTTTTAGGAAATCCGATCATCTGTTCGTGATTTAGAACAAACAGCAAGGGAAATTCATGCAATTCTGCAACAAGTACATCAGAGAGATGGAAGTAAAAATGGTATTAACATTTTCATGATCCATGTATCTTTTTTCACATGTTGTAGATACTTAATTATGTTTTTATTATAGATGAACGTTTAATTTTTTTTTTTCAGTTGCTAATATATGCAAAAGCACTGACTCATATTTTGAAACAGCTAGAAAGCAGTTTCAGGAATTAAGCTCCAAGGTTGCAGAAAATCAGTATTATAGGTAATAAAAAATATTATATACTCTTGCACTGCTACTTCTAATAGAAAAAAAAATTGTCACTTGACTTGAACATACTTTACTATGTAGGATACATAAACAGATTAGGCAGCAGACAGTGTCTATATAAGCCTTCAAACAAATGTGATATGAAAGATTTTACCAATCCTTAGTTTATATACTGTAAAATCACTAATTTTCATGGGGGCTTAATTTTCATTGTTTTCATGGTATGAGGAAGACCCATGAGTTCATGTCATCCACGAAATGTTAATTTTTCATATAAAACACCTAAACACTTCCTCAACCACGAAATCAAATCCCCACAAACCAATATTTTTTCCTCAAACGATGAAAATTTAACATCATGAAAATAATTTAAGTGATTTTTGTTAGTACCCAGTATACTAGTTCATCTCTGACACTCTGTAAAGAATGGCAAATTAACAAGTTATGTACAGAACAAATAAGTTATGTACAGATAGATAAAACATCAAATTTGAGAATAAATTATATAAAATCAGTATACATTTAATTGAAAAGGAAAATTTGTATAATCCTTTATGAAAACTAAATTACCATTTTTGGTATTTTTCATGCCAGAATGTACAGGGTTGTTCTTTTTGTTTCTTAAAGGTTTCATGACCACTGGAAATTTGCTCTTCAGAAGCTTTCTTTCTTGTCAGCTCTAGTTACCTACCTCAAAATGGAAAAACTTATCACAAGGGAGGAGACAGCGGGGATGATGGGAGGTAATAAGAGTAAACAGGGTCAGCTTGTATATGTTAAAATTGAAGATACTTGTCATGGGATCATGAAAGAATATAAACCGATGTCAAAATATGTCTGCTGTACTGAAATGGTGTGCAAGCCAAATATTACAACATAAGAAAAATGTGATTCAAGTACTGTTACCTGCAAATTTGAGTTTCGATTCACAGTTAATAAGCATCTCACAGATGATTGAATATTGACTGAGGTCTAAACCTGTGTCAGTGCCACGGTAACTAATTAAAAATTTTTGGGTAACCTGTGATGAAAATTATTTGTCACTTTAGTGAAACTGAAACAAGAAGAAGGTTTTCATATGGATTTAGATGACTATTTGATTGGTTTACTACAGATGGCTAGTGAATTGGTTAGTATGATTTGTATTCAACTGTATTTATCTACAAGTTCTCTTCTTGCATGTATTTTGTATAAAGTTGAAATTCTTGATCTTTGGATAGTTTTACATTTTTTGTCAGTTTTTTCGCAACAGTTTATTTCCTTGATTGCAGTACATGTATTTTATTACTTTGATACAAGGATATTTGTTACTCCAATATTTTAAGTGTTCCATGCTTTATAACATTTCATAACTTTTTCAGTCCAGGTTGGCAGTAAACTCTGTAACCGCTGGGGACTTTAACCGACCAATGAAAATTGCTAATTTTGTGGCTGAACTGGATGCTGGATTCCGACTTTTGAATCTTAAAAATGATGCTCTGCGCAAGAGGTTCGATGGACTGAAATATGACTTGAAGAAGGTGGAAGAAGTTGTGTATGACTTATCAATCAGAGGTCTAAAACCTGATGAAGGGACGTGAAATCTTCAGTTGGCACTCCAGATTTAGTCTGAACTTGTGCAATGTAGTGAGGACCACGATGCAAAAGGAACACGGTTGCATTTGTAAGCTACACCCTAAAACTGAATTAAGATTTGTAAAATGGTTTAGTTTTCTTGAATGAAAAATTTGATTTGGAGCTGCACACAATACAGTGTTATATTTGAATATTTTGAGTTTCTGACTTTCAAAATGACAGCAACTGAATGGAGATGATGATTGTGAAGTAACAACATACATGTACGTACATATACATGTACAAAAATTTGTTTTAGAGTAAAGTCCCTTAAGCATTGTAAGTAGATATAAACAGGACTTAAAGAATAAAGAACAGAAATCAATGTTTTGAAATTTTTTAAACAAAGAAAAGTCAAGTGACAATATTTAGTGAATAAGCATGCAGCAAGATTCTTTGCCTCATTTTAAATAGTATGTCTGTGTCTTCTTAGGTATGTCACTGTTAAATTTAAATGAGAAAAGGAACACAGTTTTCCACAGAAAGTCATTTTCAAGTCAGAATAAAAAAACCTATAATCAAGTAGAAATAAGCTCAACTGCAACAGAGTAATGGCTTAAGGAAAGTGCTACATGCTTCATTTACACATGTGTTAACTTGTTCTAAATTTTGAGTACCAGGTACTTAATGTGCATCTACTTTTTTGTTTAAAAATGCATTTTGCCAAACAATTTACCAAAATGTATGAATGGTGGTGAAAAAATATCGGGATTAAGGCAAAAAGCAAATTAACAAAAAACTTTCTGAATATTGTGATGACTTTTCAACTAGAGAGTATTTTGCCCTCCTGTGTTTATTTTTCATTTCAACTATTAGTTTATGACTTACACTGTACTAAGGGAGACCTTAAAAATATTTTTCCTATATAATCAGTATAGTCAATATTATACATTTATTGACAGGGTTCGATGGCAACATGTGTTTTGTCGGACCCAAGAACCAAACTGTTTGCCCGAGGCCATTAGGCCGAAGGCAAACAGTTTGGTTCAAGGGGTCGACAAAACACATTTTGCTTGAGAACACAGTCCATAAATGTTTTGTTATACCTTTTATTTATTTATTTATTTACGCCACTGTCGAACACCAACGAATGCAAATAAGATTTAGCTGATCTCGCCCACTGTGTGATGTAAAGCGGTCCAATATCTCATCGGCAGGTCCAATATCTCACTTTGCGGTCAAACATTGATTTTTTTATAACCGCTCAGTAAAACATGGGAAATGTTAGACTTTTTAAAGTAAAGATTAATATAGGAACCAATTTTTAAAGGTATAACAAAAATACATTTTGACTATAAACGTTTTTTGTAGTCTTGATTTCCAGAACACACATATAAGTACACTGTAATTATTTGTGAACCTCACATGTGGATTAATTTACAGTCTTTAAAATTTGGAAGTGGACCTGGAGTATATATATCTAAAAGTGAGAGTAGCGAATCCTTTCATGTATTTAAAATTCTTCTATTTATCTTTGACTTCCATCTCAGAAAAAGCTTTATAACATGGCTCAATACAAATCAACGGTTCATCCTCGTAAAACATTGAATACAAAGTTCTTATAATTGTTTCTTGTTTTTTTTTTTTTTTTTTAGAATTTTTTCCAAGAGGCAGCATTGAACATTAAATATTTTGGGAAAGTTAATTTTATGTTTAATTAAAATCTTACTACAGTTGTTCCCCTTTGGATTGCTATCAAATTTGTAATGTCATGGATAATCATGGGACTAATCAGAAGACACAAACACAATAATCAGTGATGAGGGAATGTTCGGAAGTCTGCACAAGTGAACAAATATACATGCTTTTAAAAAAATACACTTTGATAGATCTGCATTGATTATTGAAATACATTGTACTGTCTAAGAAGCATAAGTTTATGGAAATGAAAATAAGATGAATACCATCTATTAATATATTATAATTGAGCAAGTGTGTGCTGTGAGTGCTTGTGCATGATGATATGCCAAACCCTTAAGCTATATTCCCCAATGAATGTACCAGATTATGTACCAGACATCTGAGAGGAGCCAGTCTGAAAGAAATAAAAACAGGGTAAAAACTATGTTCCCAAAAAGCATTAGGGAAAAAAATATTACTAGCCCAGGAGACTGGAGTAGCAGTTGGATCCCTGCTCAAAAAAAAAAAAAATACGGTATTGATCAAGCTTATTGTTTATTTCAGCAGCTTTTATAAGCTTTCATTAAGACTTATATTTGTTGGTAAAAGCTAACCTGATGGTTATGTACAGGTACGTTGTGTTTTGTAGACCACTTGTTTAATACATCAGAAGTCCTCTAAGGCCACAATAAATCTGTTTATCCTTCAGACAGAATCTGTCATCAGAGACACCTGTTAGGGGTTAACCAGGAACCAAAGACTAGTACATATTGGTCAACAACGAATGAACATAACTGACCACAATATAAGACCATTCCATTCACCTGTCCAAACAGTGGAAATTGTTTTATAGTGGCCAGGCATCGACTTGATGAATTTATTTGACACCTTAGTGCTTATTATTTCTCATTATAATTAGGGAGTCCCTAATGATTTTCTTCTCTTTATTGTGGATTTTTCACCATTAGGTTATGTTCTATTTCCATTGATGAGCCTCATCAGACCTCTATTATATTTAATTGATACTTAACTTAATGAAGGATGCAGCAGTAGTTTTTTCATATAGTAGAAAATAAACAGAGTATTGATATGTGAATAAAATTCCTAGCTCTTGTGGGGGAGAGTGGCAAGAGTTTCTAATTAATTGACATATCTCATTATTGACAAATAATGAAAAGTTGATTAGGATTAATTCAAATAGATTGATCTTTCAGGCATTGCTGCGTAGATTTGGCATTATCATCATCTTCCTATGGATCCTCTAACTTTGAGCAAGCTTGGCTTCGCTTACAGGTAAAGCATGCTTAATATTTATTATATACCTTATACATCCTTTACATCATAAACTTTTTATTATTTAAAATGATTGTTATAATTACATAATTGTTTTTTTTCTTTTGTTTTTAATTCTTTTTTTGTAATGTGGCTGTATAATTGTTAACCTTTAATAAAATGGTTGTGTTTTATATACATGTAAAACATTCTCGCAAATTTTAATTGCCTTACCATGCATGGAGAGATAATTATGCTGCTCTTCCCTATGGCTTGACAATTAATAATGATAATGTATATCGCTAGCGAGATGTAACAAAAATGAGAAATGAATGTGACAGGATTATGTTAATGTTAGTGGAGATTCCTCACCTGTACTATACCCTGACTATTCCATTTCTGTGTGTTTTTTGTTACACATTTTATGATGGCCTCCCTTAAGTGTGAGGTTTATAAAAAGAAATATATTTAAGTTTATTTTTTTCTGTTTTTATCCAATATAAGACCTTGCAGGTTCACTGACCTAGCGGTGACATCTTTTTATTCAGTAGCACAAACTAAAAGTCAATTTTATATGTTTTAAGCATAACAGATGACTTCACAAATAACTTTTAATCTGATGTTTTAAGTCACAAATCACATATTTTCTTTATAATGCTGAGGTGCAAATAGAGGATATATGGTAATTTACTAAGGGTGATATCCTATATTAAAAAGCTTTTTATATCCCCAGCATGAAATGATTGGAGTATATATAGTGTAACCCTGTTCCATCCCTCATTTCTACATTATGTCAATCCATCAAATTTATTATTATTATTTTTATTTAGCTGTGCTTGTAAATATATAGCTGATATTTAGTATTTGTCTTTAATGACTTACAGGTTAAGTTGGAGTTTTACATGGAGCTGACTCATTTTCATGAACATTATTGAAATTAGACTTTGAAAGTTTTTATTTTTCACTGTTTCTGGTCCTTTTTGTGCAACAGTTGTCCTAGTAGATAGGGAGGTAACTGGTCTTTATATTGATTACTTGCAGATTAAGTTCAAGTTTCACCCTGATTGACCCATTTTCACAAAAGTTATTGCCCTTAATTAAACTCTGAAAATTTCTAATTATTTGCTCTTTTCCGGATTTTTTTTTTTTTTTTTTTTTTTTTTTGCTTGTAGATATAATGAGCTGATTTTTGATATGTGTCTTTCTACTGACGACTTACATATCAGGTTCTAGTTTCATGTTGTTTGACCCATTTTCACAAAAGTTGTTGCCCTTAGATTTTGAAAATTCCTAATTATAAATACATAACTGTTTTCCAGACATTTTTTTGTGTGTCTGCATGTAGTTGATCATCATTTTCATGCAGCTGAAGTTGTGCGTGTTTTGGTATTGACAACTCATTCAAGAAAATAATAGCCGAAATATGTTATTCAATTTTTATTTAATTTCCACCCTTTCGTATTTTCATATCCTTGGACTTCTGTATATTTAAAAATTACAAGTTAGCTGTGGCATTTAATGTGTCACACTGACACATCTATAGTTAAAAATAAATCAAAAACCTAAAATTTGGTCGTTATTTGTTGAAGGCATAAATGAGAAGTATGAATGTTTAAATTCCACACATGTCCTTTTGAGATAAATATTTGTGCAAATAAAAGTAGTCTCTTTATCAACAATATAAGTATTAATAATAATTAGCTATATCTGATCTCTAGCAGTTAGGATAAAAAGTGTATTGTAAATGTATTTTTGGCTGTGTATTCTACTTTAAGCACCTTTGGTGGAAAGCAGCTTCTTTTAATTAAAGTACATATAGCTAAATGTCATACGTATGTACTGGTATTAATATATTCAGAAATGTAATTATTCAAATCTTTGCTTACTTGCTACCAAATATCATACAATTATGATGCATTTGCAGTATATTGTGTATTGGTCCTGTGAGGTCTTCTACGCAGATATTTGAACATATTATGGGATTTAGTATTTAGGAGAATTAGTATATAATTTATAATATTTCATTCCTCTCGGAGCATCTCTGGTATTTAACATGCAGTGCCAGTTTAGCATGAATAGTCTGAGGTAGATTTGATGATATGTTCACACATAAAACACACTGTTAGAATGTTTACTAGGTATCTGGTCCCATTTGAAATTGCTTTATATACAGGTAGGCACATGATTGATGTATCTTTAATTTGTGCCAGTCTTGAACTAAAGTGGCATGTTATACTCAAACTGAACCCATCATTTTTTAAATATATTTTTAAATAAAGTCAGGAATGTTTCAGAAACTGTGTCAGCACTATAAAACATCCCATATGCTCCTTACATTTATGAAATTTAAATTCAATTGAATTTTTAAGTTTAGAATTAAATCCTGTCTAAATATAGAGATTCACAAATGTCTCTCACACCTTGATTAAAACC